TTAGTGACCTTTGCCTGGTGAACGACTAATTGCAGGCACCCACCCCCAAGCAAATAGATACCTTTATAGCTTTGAACAGAAGACATGGATGATTGCAAAGTTTTTTCAAAGCTCCTATACATATTAGATGAGGACTGTTTTCTAGCCTGCCTTGTAGACAGGACCTAATAACTCGAGAACTAAGCAGTTTTCGATACAATTCAAGTTGCAGTGCTGCTGGTCGGCAGAAGATTATGTTCTCCTTTTTAGGGGGCAGAAATTTGTTTATTATCTCCTGTGTTCTTCTTAGAATAAAAAGTCCAGTGAGGCGTGTGAGTTCAGCTGCTCTTTTTTCTCCTAATTCTTTTTCCTCCTAAAAGAACAAAGCACAAATTTAATGATAATCTTGCATGTCATCACTGTAATTTTCGGTATCATTTTAATTAGGTATTTGAATAATGTTTTAAAAGTATGATACCACTTCCTGACATGGGTCTGTAATGAGAAATTCTTCTCCAATGAGTACCACTGCATTAGCTTAGTTCTAGTTCTGGTTTCTAAAGTCTTAAAGGAGGACTATGTCCCAGAAGACATCCAAGCCTTGAATTATATTCTAGAATTTCTCAAGATGCAATAAAATCATGCAGATTTTGCAGTACTGTGAAGAAACTAAGAAGGAATAAAGAATCATGACATGGTAATGAACATGGCATTTTGGGGAATGTGAGGTGTTGGAAGAACAATTTTTGCCTACTAATTAACAGGTAATGCTAAATTAGGTGATCTCAACATGCATGTATTCCTCCTGCTCCCTTTGCAGAACAAGTGAATTTGTTTCAAATAGGAAGGTGAAAAGGTTTTGCTACTATTAGTAGTCCTGAGTTTCATTTTATTCCATAGAAAGCAAGTTTCACAGTGCTGTCTACAAGTTTTCTTCTATAACTGCATTTTTTTAAATAATTACCTTTGTTGCTGAAGGTTCTCTAGATCTGACAATTGGTTCCTCGTATATCTTTCTATATGTGGATAAAGAACCAAGTATTCCTGGATTCACAAACTCAATTAATGCATAAAATTCTTGCAAATCATTTTGGATTGGAGTACCTCGAAAGAGAAGAAAAGAAAAAATTCAGCATTTGGTAACATTTTCTTGAAACTGATGTAAGTACAATTGTTGAATGCAGGACTTAATGTTGAGAATGCATTTTGAAAACAGGTGTTTTGTTTCAATGTGAGTTTCACAGAGTTCTGACTTAATCTCAAACTTCATCATAATTAATAAGCCACTGTCCTCCTAACTAAAGAGACTGCACATCTAACTGTTTTGACAAAGGAATTAAAAAGTCACATTCTAAATCAATTTTATTAAATAACTATAAAGGAAAGCAATGAGTGTATGCAAGCAGAGTCCTGATTCCCTTACAGAAGTTCCCAGGCTCCTTGCCTGCTCCTGAAGATCGACAAATTTTGCATCTATTGAAAAAAATTGGAAATAATCTGTTTTTACAAGACTTGAGATTTGTACATTTAATATCCATTGCCAAAAATTATATCATGCCCCTGACATACTTACAATATCTTTTTCCTTTACGCCAACCTAGCAGTATTAACATAGTGAAATATTAAAAGTAACTATAGATACAAACCAGTAAGGATAATTCTCCTCTCACAAGACAGACTAGTAAGGGCTGTATTTGTCTTAATAGAGCTGTTTTTCAGACGATGTCCTTCATCACAGATTAGGAGGTTAAATTCTATAGTCTGAATTTGATCCAAAGATCGCAGTAGCATCTCATAACTGATTATCATAACTGAATAGAGTGGAGAAGTGATGAATTCTTCCACTTTGTGGTCCTGCAGGCATAAAGGAAAATATATCATATAACTATTTCTTTGGAGATCACTCATTATATTCCTTAATCACCCAGCGTCTACAGGATTTTTTTCTAGCATGACAAGACATTTACTGTCTCCTTCATGAGTTTGGATTATTGATTCTTTCCTAATTTGCAAAGGAAATATGGGATCTGATACAGCAATTTAGAGTTTTACCACCTCATTAAAAGAAAATTTATTATTCTTTTAGGCCTTCAAATCCTCTGAGACACGTTACTGTGATGGTGAAAAGCACAGGCTCCCTGTAACAGCTTCCCAGTCCTGGATTTAGGTAAGCTTCAAATGAATAATTAAAGCCAAGATAACAAAGAGGCATAAGTAGTTGCCTGTACACTCACTCTGGGATCTCAAGCTGCAAGGTGCAGTAATGTGGTCCAGTAGGAAGTTACTACATCCTATCAAAATTCCCCTTATAGTTCTGAATGGAATGTTATTGAATATAATATGAATATTATTGAACTCACTGAATAGGTTTTAAGTTTTAAATTTTAGAAAAGCAAACTTCAGCTTGCTCAGAGCTCAGGTGGGAAGAATTCCATGGAGGACAAAGGAACCAGCAAGTGCTGGGAGTTTTTCAAGAATGCTCTCCTGGAGTCACAAAAACCGTTCATTGCTTTTAAAGGTAAGGGAAATAGGCAGCGAAAGAGACCCCCTTGGCTTAACTATGAGCTTCTGAGACTGCTCAGAGAAGAAAACCAGAGGTGGAAAATCAGAAAAATACCCATTGAGAACTACAAGGGCTTTGCCAGGGTGTGCAGACATGCAGTTACAAAAGCAAAAGCTCAATTGATATGTCCAAAACTACAAGGAAGGGTTCTTCAGGTACCTAAAGAACAAGCAGAAACAGAAGGAAAATACTGGCCTGCTGTCAAACAGGAGAGGGGAGTTAGTCACCAGCAGCGCTGAAAAGGCAGAGGTTCTCAGTGCTTTCTTCACATCTGTCCTTACCAGCACTGTTGGGCCACAGTCCAACAGTGAACAAAAGTGTGACTTTTGGGAACAAAAGTCAAGGTTAATGCAAACACAGACCCACTGTCAGGGAAGGAAGAGTTGGTATGTGAACAGGAGCATGGCCTCTGCAAATTGATGGGCCCTGACATTATCCACCTGAGGGTGCTCAGAGAGCTGCTGGAGCTGCCATGAGGCCACTCTCCACAATCTTTGGGAAGTCCTAGAGATCAGGGGGTGTCCCAGAAAACTGGAAGAAGGCTCGTGTCACCCCCATCCACAAGAAGGGCTTAAAAGGAGGATTCAGGAAATTATAGGCCCATTGGTCTCACTTCAGTCCCCTGGAAAGTTATGGAATGAATCCTCCTGGGGGCTACCTATCACAAATCAAAGGAAGCACGTGACTGAGAAAAGCCGGGACGGATTCACCAGGGGCAAATCGTGCTTGACCAACCTGATCACCTTCTATGACAAAGTAACCTGCTGGGTTGATCTAGGGCGACAAGTGGACATTGTCTACCTTTATTTTTCCAAGGCTTTCCATACAGTTTCCCACAGCCTCCTCCTGGAAGAGACTGCTGCATTATGGTCCAGACAAGTGGTCTGTGCGGTGGGTGGGGAACTGGCTGACCAGCAGCACCCAGAGGGTGGTAGTGAGTAGCTGTTTATCAAACTGGTGACCTGTCACCAGTGGAGTCCCCCAGGGACAGGCACTGGCCCCAGCACAGTTCAATGTCTTCATAAATGATCTGGATGATGGGATCAGGTGTACCCTGACGAAGTTTCCTGATGATACCAAACTGAGTGGGGAAGTGGACACTTTGGAAGGGAGAGCCACCCCACAAGAAGATCTGGATGGGCTGGAAGAGTCATCTAACCAAGAACCTTATGAAGTTCAAAAAAGAAAAGTGCAAGTAAGGTCTTGCAACTGGGGAAACATAATCCAGGAGTGCAGTACAGTCTGGGATCAGCTCTGTGGAAAGGGACCTGGGGGTCCTGGTGGAGAAGCTCAATATGAGTGAACAGTGTGCTGCTGCGGCTAAGAAAGCCAACAAGATGCTGGGTTATATCAACAAAGGCATCACCAGCAGAGATACAGAAGTCATTCTACCACTCTACTTGGCACTTGTCAGTCACACCTGGAACAATGTGTTCAGTTTTGGTCCCCACTGTGCAAAAAAGATGGGGACAAGCTGCAGAGGTCCAGAGAAAGGCCACAAAGGTGATCAAAGGACTGGGAAGCCTGTATATGAGGAAAGGCTGAGACAACTGGGTTTGTTCAGCCTTATAAAAAAGAAGGCTCAGGAGAGACCTTATTACCATGATCCAGTATTTAAAGGGTGGCTACAAAGAAGATGGAGACTCTCTTTTTTCAAGGAGACACATGGAAAAGATGAAGGATAATGAGCACAAGTTACTGCTAGGGAGATTCCTGTTGGAGATGTGGACAATTTTATGAAAACACCCAGCCACTGGAATAATCTCCTCAGGGAAGTGGTGGATTCCCCAATATTTTAAGATTTGGCTGGGAAGGGTGCTGGGCCATCTTGTCTAGACCATGCTTTTGCCAAGAAAGGTTGGACCAGATGATCCTTGAGGTCCCTTCCAACCTGGTGTTCTATGATGATTCTGTGATTAACTTTGTTACAAGCCCTTAACATTGATGAGTTGGCCAAAATGTAAGAATCATAGAATCATAGAATCATAGAAT